ATATATAGAACTTCAATTCGGAAAATATTTTTTTTAGACAGTTATGTCTGTTAAAGATTTATATTTGCTGATATTATTGGCCACCAATGAATTATGAAAAATGAAAACAAAAGGAAATCAGTGGGACGGGGAAACATATAATCACAATATACACAATAAAGTGGTACCTCCTCTTTCAGAGCAGAGAAGTCTAGCTGGGAGCAATCAGGGATTTCTGGGTACAGACCTGTAGGCAAACAGTGAACACACATATAAATCATATTCACTTGTTATAAGTAATAACTAAAAATAATAAGCTTGGACTCTTTAAAGCAATGATTACCAACATACAAAGATTGTGAAGTAGCTTAAGTACTGTGAGAAAATGAGAAATGATGGTTTCGATTTTTCAGTTTCTCTCTGACGTGACTCCGTTTCAGCACCTCGACACAGCTCCTTCCAAATCAGAGCATGAAAACTGCTTAACGAGCCGGAGAAACTGTCTGAAAGGATAAATGAGCTCTCACCCTTCTCCACTCCTCTCTCATAGCTGTCGAACAGAGTGTGAAGTCTGGCACAGTTGTACATCACAAACACGCCTCCTCTCGGCCCTTTGGTGGACACGCCCCCTTCCCTCTGGACGTCCAGTGTCACCTGCAACCGACAGCTGTCACTCATTCTGACTCAACCAATTACATCATTGAGTAAACTGTCATGGATTTCACTTTGAACAGAGACAAACTTCCTGAGTCAAACCCAGTCAATGTTAAAAGCACACACACAGGTTTGTGCAGCTATTCTTATTAGGACTTTGCTTTGACTCAAATTCCTCATGTACAACCTTCAACCAAGATATTGTCTCTAAATGAACAGTGACCAATTCACGCCAAACCCTAACCTAACCACATCTCAACTCTATTCTTTACCATGTTTTCCATCATTTGGTCTACTGGTGAGAACTCACAGGACTAGTGTGGACTGTAGACAGCAGCTCAAATCTGACTGTGGCAGAGGTCATGACCCTGATGATGTCATCCCACGTCTGACCTAGAGGAGGATAAGAAGGTATTTAGTTTGTTCCCTTCATCATCTCAGGTCAGTTTGATAAGTAAGGAGACCACAAACTCTGTTATATGTGCACACACACAAACCTTCTACTTGATCTCCATACTTCATCTCTGAGGCTTCCTTCATCTGTCCTCTTCTCAGCCTGCAGCAGAGGAGGAAGACAATAGAGGCCTTGTTTACTCAGACAGCTGGGCTAAAAATACACTGCAATAACACAGAGATGAAGAAAAGCCCCATCAACGCCCACTAGAGTTATTTTAATGTACTTTTCATTAACTTCAATCTCATCAGTGCTGAGGGGATCCTGGTAATAATGACTTTTATGATAATAAACATCTGTCTTGTGGAAAAACAGAAGTGATAGAGAGGGAAAAGGAGACCAGGAAAGATATGCGAAGAGATATAGATAAAAGGAAGTGATGTGTCTTACTGCAGGTACTGTGCAGCAGTGAGGTGAGAACCAGGAGTCTTCACAGGCCCACACACCAGATGTCTCTGCAGACACATAGAGCAGAGACGCTGAAAATAGGAACACTATGCACTACATGGCCGTGTGAGTTTGTGTGTGTACAGCATGTGTGTGGTCACCTGCGTGTGTGTCGCTCCACTGGCTCTCCACAACATTGCTATCTGCTGCTGGCGGAACTCATCCTGACAGGAAGTCACATGTAACGCTGTTGCCATGGCTACCTATGAAGGATACAGAAAGGATTTACAAATCAATGCTTTGACTGTTATTGTTGATGAGAAATTAGGAAATTGCGTGTGTCTCTCTTACTGTGCAGTCGGCTGTGGCTAGGTCCAGTTGTGCCAGATGTGAAACACTGTCTCTTTGTACTGAAACAGATATAAACCAACGAACTCTTATCAGTAAATGTATAGCTGATATAACAATCTGTTACCCTTGAGTCTTTTCTCTTACATAGGCATGTGTAAACACATGAAACACTGCCAAAGTATGAAAGGAATAGTTTTTTTAGGAATGAGGAGTAATGTGATGGTGCTGGAGCCAGGACATTAGTTTGGCTTTAAATAAAGTATGGAAATCTGGGTGAAACAGTGAGCCTGGCCATCTCCAAACTGCCTGACTCCACTGCTAACAATCACTAATTAATATGCAGTGTTTCTTGTTTTGTCTGAAGAAAAACATGGATGAGAAGGAACATTGTCTTAAGTATAAATACTTTAAACATTGACACACTTCTTCATTATCTTACAATCTGTTTCTTCTAATCAATGTTGTAAATACTATTATTTTGTTGATGTGTTGAATTACAAGCGGCATCTATTGCACTTCTGTCTGCACTTTAAGACCATATGAGACAAATTGTGATTTGTAAATCTGGGCTATACAAATAAGATAAGAATTTGATTCACTATTATGATAGACACAGGAGTTAACTGCGATGTGGGTCAGCTGTCCACTTCAGATCACCCAAGACCAACATTATTGCCAAATGTAAACACGAACAAAGTTGTTATCAGACAAACTTTTATCCGTTCAAAAAATGCTGAATGAAATAGAAAAGCAGCACGGCACAAACACGCCATTACAATATAACCATAAACTGCAGCAAAAATCTTATCTAACTTACCTGTGCAGGTACCAAGGCTAGGGTCGTATCCCAGCAGCCCCTCCTCCTGGAACACTCTTGTCAGGTTGACCCTGAGCGCTCCCTCGTTCTCCCCCTCCTCTGCCTTCCTTCCTCCGCCACCACTGGTCCTCCTGCCTCTCTCCGTTTCCCTCTCTTTATACGGGCAGTTCTCCAGTGCCTCCTGGATCTTCTCCTCCCGCTCCTCATTGGTCCAGCTGGCGGGGGCTGTCGGCCAATCGATTCCTAGAGCTTGCAGAAAGGTGCTGATGTCGCTGTCTTGGGGAAGCGTGGGGCAATAGGACACTGCAAATCTGAGAGAGGTGACATCGGCATGTCACACTTACAGCAACAGTTGTTTTCATAAGCAGGTCACCTATCTTTAACTTTTTTCAATTGATGGTTTATTTTTTAAAGGTCAGAAAATATTGAAAATGCTCATTTAAGTTGTCAGTTGTTATTTGTTGTTACCAATTCATTGTTAATTAGTGGTTAAATATAAAAAACAAAGGATTTTTTTTGATGTAGAGTAAATCAGGGGAAGCTGATGTAATGGATTTAAGAGAGACATGTTGAAATTAACTCTCACACTCACCCTTGTCCTCTCAGCAGCGCCCCCATGTGGTCAGCCAGCAGAACAGTCCTCAGCTGACCTAGAGTCAGTGTATCAGGAGTGGGTGTGTTGGGTTTAGGGTGCAGCGCGGGGCAGTTAAGCACCACACAGCTCTGCCTCTGACTGGAGGGCTTCAGGTATTCTGTGGCTCCACCTGCCAGAACGGCCCTGAAGGCTGCGGGCCGGTCCACCCTCACCCTCAGCCCTTCACCAATCACCTCCCCCCCAGCCACAGGGAGAACCCCACTGCCACGAAGGGACAGGACCCTGGACATCACTGACGGAGGGACCTAGGTGGATACAGAGACTGATCAGACTGTTGCATGGATGAGACAGACACGAGGGGAGAAAAGGCAGAATTTCAGGTAATGACATCTGCATATAAGCCAAGCATGAGAAAGATTTAGTTTAACAGCACTGCACATTCAGCCCCAGAAACCACGTCCAAACAAACTGGGCTAGCCCTAGCAAACAGTACACAACGTTAACTAACAAAAACTAAGGACATCTCATCTCATTAACATGAAACACTGACAGACAGAAAAAAGCTGCATTAGTGACAGGAAATGTCATTAAGTGCTGCTATGGCTGCATATTTCACCTTATTGACCTGTATCTATGTCTGTATGGCAATATGTTAAAGTAGCAATTGGGTGGGTGAGTGATGTCATGTGTTTTTGAGGTTGAGAATCTAGTTCAGGGAGGTTGGGTGTGGAAAGTTACTGTGGTAGCAGTCTGGATTATACATGTTAGTTTCATCCATCCATCCATTATCCATACCACTTATCCTTTTGAGAGTCAGGGGAAGCTGGAGCCAATCCCAGCAGACATCCAATTTGTGTGTCTTTGGAGTGTGGGTGGAGACCAACGTACCCACAGAAATCACACGCAAACACAAATCATACAAATTCCATACAGAAGGATTCGAACAAAGGACCTTGATGTTGTGACACAGTGCTAACCCTGTTAACCTGCTTACCCATGCTGCCCTGTTAGTCTGGTTTGTTATTTCTTTATTGTTTTGACATTGTGGTTTGACTACATGAACTGGCAAGAACTTGATATCGACTGATTGTAAGATTATCTCATTTTAACTTTTTTTTCTAGTAGTGTGACACTCAATGCTTTCAAATTAGAAACACAGTAAATGGGATTGTTTTGAGTTTGAATTTTTAAGATATGAATAACTAGAAATACAATTTATTAGCTTCTGCTTCAATGATTCATATCAGTGCATATACAGTTCATAAACAATGATCGTAATAACGTTATAGTAATTCCTGCTACGGGTGATGTTATTATTATTCACATCATTATATTTATCAGTCATGTTATTTCCCTATAAGAACAAGTCTGACAGAATATGATCGTACACAACAATCCCTGGTGTCTCTCTCTTCTCTCCTCTCTTTTCCACTCACATCTCCTCTCTTCCCTATTTCTCTTCTCTCACAGATCTGTAAGTTTCTTCCCATTAAAAACTTTTTTATCCTCCCCAGTCAACTGTTTGCTCATTGTGTGACCTGTTGGGGATCTAGACCGTAATGGGTCAAGTGCTGTGACACAATGAATGTAGTGATTTGGCGGTTTGCAAAATGAATCTGAATGGAATAATACATGCTCATGTTGCAGTGAACTGCCTTACATATATATATATATATATATATATATATAGAGAGAGAGAGAGAGAGAGAGAGAGAGAAACATCACCCTGCACAGGGATGCATGAAGGGGTTGACAGATGCACTTGTTTTAATAATTTACATTCAGGCATCTTTATAAAGTCATGATTGACTGATTCAAACATGCATTTAAAAAGGCATTTATGTGTGTCTGTGCCTCTGTGTTTCTTGACTTGCAGCTGTGCATGTGTGCGTGTGTGTGACCCATATGCCACTCATGGGTTAATAATGCCGCCGCTGGCTGCCCTCGACTGGTCGATCATGATGGGACAGCCATCATCATCATCATCATCATCATCATCATCAGCCAAACCTCTGGTGTTTTTCTATCCCAATGTTTTTATTCTAAGTGTTTTTACATAGCTGTGTCCGGTCTGCTCTTTTCTCTCTCTTGTTTTTTGTTCAGGCAGATGGTTGGACACAACCTGACATTTAAATATTAAACCTCACATTTCAGGTCCAATTCACCGCAGAATGCTTTATCAGCATAAATGTGGAGAACGATTATTATTGACATGTGTTATCTGGGACAATCCCACTATTAAATGATAATAATAATATAATTACAATTAATATTACTGCGGTGAAGACTAGCTAGCATGATTCCTTGAGGAACTATAGCGCCTAGCGGAAGAGTAAAAGGGGGACTTCTTCGTGGAAGTAGTGTTGTGACCGCGAGGTTGATGCAGTGACTGTTGTGTTTAGATCATATTTCTGCTTCTCTGTGTTTAGCCTCAAAACACACATTTAAATGAGCGACGTTAAAATGCCGCCAGCCCCGCAGGTACCAGTCTAACCGACCTGTCCGTCCGCATACAGCGTGTTGAGCATCGTGGTGGGCGACAGAAAGTCTCTGTTCCGCAGGTTCTTCACGCTGCTCTCCTTGAACCACAGCTTCTCCGGCTCCGGGAAGATCCTGTCGCCGTTTCTCCGGCTGCACTCGGGGACATTTTCACGCTTCCCCCGCAGTGCGGAGCTCAGCGCCCGGACGGTAGGGGTGATCCGGAGGGGCGAAGGCTCCTCGATGTTCTCCATCACCAGCCTCCGACACTAACACGCGAGCTAGCTACCGGGATATCAACACATCCACATCGCGCTGTGGTCGGCCATTGAAATGCGGTCACTCCGGTTGTTGCTGATGGAGGCTGAGTTACATCCCAGTCACACGCTCGATCCCTGATCGATATTGACTGTGAGGGAGGACTGCATTGGCTGTTTTTCCTTTGCGGAACTAGTGAAGTGCAGTCCGTGTTTCTGCCGAGGAGATTTTCTGTGTTGGACCAGTGGGCGGGCTCTAATGGCATCTAATAGCGCCCTCCAATGCATGATACAATAACTGCAACCTTAACTGCACTACATGGCCTAAAGTATGCGGACACATACTGCCTGTGCTTGGTGTGGGTGAGGCCTCTTAGCTCCTATCAAGGAGAATCTTAAATCATACAGTGATGTTATAAACAGCCACATGCTTTTAGAGAGAGGCTCCTTCCTGTTTCAACATGTCGCTACATGTGTGCACAAAGTGAAACACAAACAATGTTTCCTCTTGGTCTGATTGATTTGCACAGATCTCTGATCTCAAACACTTGTTGGATGAAGTGGAGAATTAACAAACATCTGGGCCTGACCTCACTCACACTCTCATGGCTGAACGGGAGCAAATCTCTGCAACCACAAGAGCAGTTTAGTTTGGAATGAGAAGTTCAGCAAACACACAGCAACATGTTATGTTTGTCTGCCCAGAATCCTTTCACCAGAAGTGTATACACATAAATATTTAAATCAGAAGTAATGCCATATGTAATTTCACCTACTGCCACTATCACTATAACAAATACTCAAGTTTTAATAATGGCTGATAATTGTTATCAGGCATTTTAAAGAACTTAAAACATGGTACATTATTTGAATAATCAAACAAAAGCAAATAATCTTTAACAATTTTGATTATTTTTTAATAATTCAAGATGTTTTTCAAGAAAAAAATCCCCAATAATCAGCTCCAGCTTCCAAAATGTGAAGTTGTTTATACACTACATTTTGTATTATGGTAAACTGTACCTGAATATGCACTCTTAACGTCTCCTAGGCTTTAAGAAATTCTAGTTGGTTATATTGCATTATCTTTTGAAAGATACTCCAAAGTGTGTGCTGCTTATTGTGACTTCACATGCATGTTGAAGCTTCACTTTACAGAAGGAGTTCCTGTATTCACCCTCTATCAGTGTAAAACGTGCACGTACAACAAGTTCAGTGACATAACAACTTGTTTTGGGAGCCTCGATGTGGAAAACTGAGTCCTCCAGTGCACATACTGATGTTTCAGTGAGGATGGGGTTGTGTTTTGTCCTGCTGTAAATAAAGTGTGATCTTGACCTATTATAGAAAAGTAATAATAATGATAGTACAATATTACAATGAATGAACTCCCCTATGGTTGCTTAATGTAATTGATAATCAAGCAAGAATTATTATTGTTGTTGTAAAGAGATCCACAAATGCATACAAACTGATCAAATCAACAGATCTAATTATGAAAGAAAATGTAATGTATGTATTAAAAACATATCATTATATTAAATTTGGTGCAAATGTTGAGGGGTTTTACTGCTTTTCTATTACAGGACATAGATGATAAACACTGAAACTGGGTTTAATTTCAGTACTTAACATTTGAGGATGTGGAACTTGGTCAGTAACATGATGAGCTTGCTAAGAAAACATAGTTGGAACTCTCTCTTATAATTTCAGAAACCGAATATTAAATCCTTAGAGCAAAGTGTAATAGCATCGTAGATACAGTCCAATAAGCCACAGCCATCTTTTTAACCACGGAGTGAGTCATCCACAATAGACCATCTTTGAGCTCGCCTTCTTCCGGCTCAGAAATGTGACGTAAAGGGCGCAAATATACAAGGGAGGTCTTTGTAGTAAGTTGAGACGCTCGAGCTGCAGCGTTTTCCTCACGAGAGAAGATGCACAACTGGCAGGAGAACGAAATCAAAGAACTTCTGAACATCCGGGGCACGGAGGCGATCCGCAACCAGATCACAGGCACCGTGAAGGACTCGGTAGTTTACAGCCGGATCACCAAGCAGCTGGCGGAGAGGGGGGTGTTCAGGTCCCACATGCAGGTGATCAGCAAGCTGAAGGCGCTGAGGAAGCAGTACCTCAAGTACCACCAGCAGAAGATCCGCTGCGGGAGCGACCGCGTCGACTGGCCGTTTTACGACCAGTGCCACCGGGTCTTCGGTTGCCCCCCCGTGGCGGTGAAGCGTCAGAGGAGTCCCACACCCCCGCTGGCGCCCTCACCGCCGCCGCCGCCGACTCCTCCGCCTCCGACTCCTCCGCCACCGCCATCTGCCCTCAGCGACGAGCATCATGAGGTCGTGGTCGGCCTCTGGGACGAGGTCGATAAGCATCTGGGTCCCGTGGAGCCGGAGGACGACGATGACCAGTACAGTCCACCAGAGCAGCTGCACACCATCAACACCAGTGAGTATATGTGTCATAGACAGCGTGAAGACCTGCAGGGTCCTGAGCACCGAGGGCATTTGTCCAACATCAAGTCCATTTCCATAGTATGAACTCTGTTAGATACATTCATAATAAATCCATTTGAAATGATACAACTTGTAGATGGACATTTGTACGTCTCAAAGATTAAGAGTCAAGTATTTCTAACTTTGAGCTTCACCAGATCGAACATTCTACAATGCTCTTTAGAGAATGAAACGGTGGGAGATGATAGATCATTCTTCAAAAGATCTGTCAACCATCAGATTATAGAACTTTTCCCGATTTGAAAGCAGACTGAAAGTTGAGCAGAGGGCCTGAACAGCTCCTGAGACCTTCTCAGTTGAATAATTGCTTGGTTGCTGAGCTCTGTGTCTGCGTCGACCTCCAAGATGCGTTGTTTACTGCAGCAGCATTTCCTACAAGCCCCCTGTGTGGGAAACTGTGCAAGAACAGACACATCAAAACAATAGAGAACTTCCAGAGGGAAGCGACTGACTCTTCTCACAAATAGACCCCAGAAAAAGGAAGCATTTGTTATACTTTGTTGAAGACATGAAACTTTGCTTCCCCTACTATTAAAGACTCTGTTCTGCATAAAGAACAGAATTTTTTTTTAAAGAATAGAAAAGTTTTGAATTTTTCTCCTGACTTCGATGAGGCATTACGCTGTTTTGCTGCAAAAATGGGTGTGGACATTTTCCGGACTTAGCATTTCACATATGAAGAACGCAGCAGGAGATTGTCCGGGTCAGACATGTTCACAACAACAGGAAATGTCTGGAACATTCCATCATCAACGCACCCACTCACTCGTTTTTCCTTTTACTGAGGGGGGGGGGGGCTGACAGGAAATGTTCTGGCACATGTCTGGAGCAACTGACTCGGACATTTGCGTTCTCACATGCAGCCCGTCTGGAAAATGTCTGAGCTTCTCTGAACAGTTATAAAGTTAAATAATATTTTATGGCAGCAATTTACTGTGGAGAGTTGGGTCTTAAATATGTGAGCCAGTTATAATTTGGTCCAGAAGGTTTTACTTTAAAACATCCCTCAACCTGATCAAACTTTGCACTTTAATGCCATTCTTGTTCTCCTATGGCGAATATCGGGGTCTGTTTATGCTCAGCTTTAATCAGTGCACTGTCGGTCACAGCCGACTATTTAACCCACTTCTCCATCATGGCTGTTATGTAAAGACCCTCAAACTGACCATCAGATCAGTGGTGGGTAAACACGCTGTCAAATCCTAGTGTTTATATGTTTAAATTACATTTCTGCAACACACACCCTCTTGTTGCCATTAGAAAATGCAACCATGCAAATTAATCAAATGCACTTCTGCATTACAAATCTGTATTACATTATTGTGCACGTGTTGTGTCTACACGCTTTCAGACAACATGCACTTTGCTCACATTTTCCTGGAATTTTCCAGAGGGGCTGTATGTGAGAATGCAAATGTCAGAGTCAGTTGCGTCTGACATTTTCCAAAACTTTTCTTGCCAGCCCCCAGTAAAATGTCTGGAAAATGTCAGGGTGAGCCCATGTGAGAATTCAGCGAGAGAATGTCACGGTGAGCAAGTGGGTGTGTTTTAACCATCTAACACATGATGGATGCAGAAGTGAGGGGAAAAAACAAAGGAGTACAAATATTTCAGGAAGAATCAAGAGCTTTGGGGGCTGACACCGGTGTCGATGTGCTATAAACAAAAACACATGATTTCTGCAGTGGAATTTAAACATCATGTTCTGCCTCCTGCATGCTCTACTTAGGGCCACCCCTTGTCTGAATGTTCCAGACGTTTCCTTTTGTTGTGAACCCGTCTCACCCGGACAATTTCCTGCTGCATTCTTCAGTTGTGAAAGGCAAAATTCAGAAAATGTCTGGACCCAATTTTCCAGACATTTTCTGGGGTTTATGTCTTAAAATAGCTTCTGTTTGTCAAGACCACAAACACTGTGTTATTTTGCTGTTGTTGGCTCTGCTCTGAATTAGAAAAGAGGAAATGACTGATGTTTAGTGGGTGTAAACACACAGTTTACTTTATTTGGATTCACAGAGACAAAACTATACAAGAAGCCTGTCACTGTCAGGTTGCTTTGTGTCTTTGGTCTTTCTAGCATACAAGGTGCCAACGAAGAAAAGGAAAACAACGGTCATGGACCAAGTCTCTGCTTTAGTGTCGGCAACAGTCGCCCAGCTCAGAGAGATGGACGCCGCCATGCAGGCGCAGGAAGATGCCCGGCTTCAGAGGTTAATGGACCACGAGAGGGAAATGCAGAACAATCTAATGAATCAGCTCGCAGTCATGCATGAACGGGTCAGTCAAGAAAACCATGAGAGACACATGGAACTCGTTGACAGGATACTCTCTAGGTTCCCTTCATCTTCAGCCTCATCAGGCCGCTGACTGACTTCCTGTGTGAGTGGAGATGGTGATCGACAGGGTTTTTCTTTTTTTGAGGTGTAGGGAACATGTCTGACTCTCCCCTCCACCAGCTGACTAGTGCCTGAGACCCCTTTACTTTTTTATTTTCACTGTATTTAAAAAGATCATTTTGCATTTAACCTCAACCCCAATGGCCTGCAGCTGATACAGATTCAGGTTAAAAACCAGACCAGGCTCACACCACTGATTCACTGCTAGTGTTTTTATCTGTATTATCTTAAATTATTATTTCATTGTAAACTGGCCGTGGTGTGAAACACACAAATATACAGGAACAATAACCAAACACTAACTTGACAGGGACAGAGACTCTGCACCACTGTAGCACCATCAGAAATCATTTGTTAAATGCATATTGTTATGCACTATTCCCCAAAAATCGTATATATAATCAGTCAGTTGTGAATTGATGACTTTATACTAAATGGATAATTGTGTTGCAGTGTTTTGGCAACTGGTTTCGATATTGACGAACATGTATATTTTTAATCATTTGTATTAGTTTTAGTTTAGATAACATCATTTGCACACAGCTTTGCAATGTTTTTTATTAATAGCAGTGCAACAGGTCAAGTTAAATCATGTGAGCAAGAGATGGTGTGTGTGTTCTCACAGACGCCTACAGACTGTTGAACAAGACTTTGCATTAATGTTCCATTCACAACATTTATTCTTTAGCGTATATCAACTGCTGGTTCATGTAGAGTAAACTGGGTTGAACAGAAAATGTCAGCTGCGGTGGGAGGATGATGAATCTAAATTTGGAGACTTTCAACACCTGCAGTGTGAACACAGCTTTCCGTTGCAGGAAAGGAGACAAACGTGTCAAAAAAAACAACATATAAAGTAGAATGTGACGTGTGGATGGACGTGCTGTGCCCCTCCCACCACCTCAGCTGAGCATGTTGGTGTGTGAACAGTGAACCAAAGGCTGAAGCAAAACAAATCTGTGGCCACTGTGGCCTTTTGTAGTAGGAAATGCTTTAGTAAGCGTTTGCTTTCATTTGGGATCATTCATATGCAGAAAGAGCTGCATGAATTCAGTAGAGATGGCAGTCGCTGCACTACACAGGAGGTAATGCTGTAGAAATTTGGCATTTAAAGAAGGCACTGCTGTGTCAAACATTGATGTAAATATCGTGTTTCAGCCGTCACGGTGCTGCAGTGCCCCCTGGAGGGAGAGGAAGCCGGAGTAAGCTCCAGACACAACTCAAACACTGGTGGGGGAAATGTTGCTCCTCAGTGGTCTATTTGTAGCACAGGTCAAAGACACATGGTGATGCAAAGAAAATACTCAGTAACTGGTAAAGGTAGAAAATTACAAGATTTATTATTTAAATATACCGTGCGGTTACATTGAGTAAAAATGTTGTGGTAGACTTCACAGTCTAAGAATATAAAGTTATTTGCGACTCGATGTCTGAAGTGTCATTCTTGGCTGACACGAAATTCCCGGTTGCGTTTACTGTGTTCAGCAATCCGGGAGAAAACGTGTCATTTAGGAAAAAACACCTGTAGTCAAACCAAAATTCAGTCGTCAAACCAAAATTCAGTCTTTACACACAAATATGCCCTTTTACAGAAAAGCAACACAGCAATAAAGTGCTTTAATGTTAGTTTCACTTTCTTTACTGATTTAATAGAAACAAAAGTGAAATCCTACAGTGGTGAGCTCTTAGGGATAGTTCACTGAAAAAAGAAAATTAGGCTTAAACCGTGGTGTAAATGACCTAGTTTTGAGTCGAATTTGAATGTGGAGGCTTGAGGACACTTGGAAGACAGTCTAGGTCACCATCGACTTCAGTTGTATTGGATTCTGCTCTAACAAAGTTTACTTCTGAAACTTTGTTTGAAAAAGTTCTGTGGACTCAAACACTTCACCCACCCCTCCATCGGCATAGTGGTGAGTAGATAATGGGAGAATAAAAAATTTTCAGTGAACTATCCCTTTAACGTTGGCTCTTGTGAATCAAGTCGTTACGTATAAGCTAATCAGGCCTTGGTGTGTCCGTGTGGTTCAGTCAGCTGGGATGTGTATACATATTATACTTTTATACTGTCCTATATTATAACTTGTGTTTTACTGTTTAAATATATCATTGTTTTTTTCTTTTAAGGAACAATAAAGTTTTCAGCTGAAATAATCTGAATTTTAATCTGATTTAAGAAAAACATCTGAGGTTTGTTCACAAATGTTCTTGGTGACGATGATGATTAGCCCGTCTGCTGGCTCCTGTGCATTGTGGGATGGAAACGGACGCCATAACCAGCTGAAGTCAAGAATCACAGCTGCATTATGGGTTCCGTTACAATCCCACCCACCAAAACAAGGGTCAGGGCTCAGGTCTGGGCAGCACAGCATTGCTAAAGAGACGGGAACAATTGTTATAAAAAGGAAAAAAGATTAAGAAGAAGAATTATCAGCAACAAATTAATCAGAATTTATGGCAGCGTTAGCAGAATACAAAAACATTTTCATAGTTGTTGTTCTTTAAGTTGCAGCTTTTTAAAGTGACAAGTCATTCATTTGAAGAAAAAAATGAAAGAACACAAGCATATTAGATACCAGCCAGATAATGACATGTATGGTTTATCCTGAACAGCGTCCTACTTTGCGTACAGCACACAAAAAAGTGAACACCACGCTAAAATGTGTGGTAATACTTTTAAAGGTTCAGTTCACCAGAGTTGTGTAAGAATCTCTCTCTTACTGTTAAACATGTTTTTATGTTCATGATCTCAGGCCTCAGGTTTGCATTGTGGGACTGTGAAAAAGAATAGGGTTGTTCTAACACCTCAGCTTCCTCTGGCTCAAATTCTTTGCATCACTCTTAAGTTGTTCAAACACTAACTCTTCATTTTTACTCTTTTACAACATCGGCAGAAGCAGAACTGAGAAATCTGAGTTCACTGGATGATAAGACGTAAAACAAGACGACCATTGAAAGTCATCCATTCACTCAGCGGTAACAGAGTGAAGACAGAACAAATATTAATGAGCAAATTTGATTGACCATATTTGCAATTTGGTATCTCTTTAAAGCATCGCAACCCCTTAAAACCCGACAGTCTTTCATTTGCAGGAATGAACCGACAAACTGACAAAGCTTACGTGGAAAAAAAAAAAAAGATCAACTTTCAAAATGCTGAAACTAAATCTCCATCAAACCACCTTCAGGACTGTCCGTTACAAACCACAGCAGAAAATCTTCACCGATCACTTACAGTTTCACACTTTATAAATAGTTCTTTTGTGTTGCGGCTCCATCTCGAAAAACCTGTTGTGTGTCATCTGCAGAGAGACAGAGCAGAGTGAGCTCTATGGAGCACGAGAGGTCAGCCTGACGAGGGATAGCTGATGGGACGATAAAAGGAAGAAGAGAGCTGAAAAAAGATATGAAGGAAGTGATTTACATATGAGGATTCCTTCCTGTGGAGAATGAAACAGGTTTGAGACACTGATTTGAAGCTGCCTCGTACTCTTGTGTCCTTAGAAAGTTTCAAGTAAACCTGGAAAATGATGAACTAGTGAGGCAGCAGAATGAAAGAAAGAAAGAAGACTTGGATAAAACAGCACAAGCTCCAACATGTTTCCAGTTTGTCATCGAGACTTCAACCCCTGATAAGAAAACCTGAATGTTTTCTAAAAAATGACAGCAATGATGGAACAAACATTCTGTACAATCTAGCAGACACAGACAGATTGGAGGAGAACTTGTGGAAAAGTTAAGAAGTTGAATAAAAGGAAAAATGTGTTCAGAGGGAAAAAAGAAAGCAGGAGGAATGAAAGAAAGCAAAGTGAAAGTTAAAAAGCAGCCGAGAAAAGAACACTTATGAATAAGCAGTGATTAAATGGCGTCTTAAAATTTCTCCAGCTCACCAACATCTCAGGTCAGTGTGTCCCCACGCTGTGGTCCCGTCCACTAACAGCTCAGAGTCGACACTTCCTCTTTAAATATTCTCCAGAGATTCATTTCACTTTCACTTCTCCTGATCACACAAAACTCCTCCTTTCCTTCCTTTATCCACTCCCTCTCCTCTGGAGAGAGACAACAACTACTATCTTGTCTTCTCTTTGTCCCTGGATGAACTCTAAAATACTCCATTTCATTGATATAGCACCAAATCACATCATACATATCTAGAGACACTTTACATGTAAGGGTGAGACCTTAGAAATGTTATTAGAATAATATAAATGCTCTTTTTTTGTTTTATTATTATTTAGCCTTACATCTCATTTATCAAACCTGAATTGACACTGGTATAATTTGAACGTAACCTTTCTAATATGAGATATTCAGACACTTAAATAGTATGTATGTCTTTGATACAGTGTGTTCACCTTCACTGTCACTTTTCTCAGTGTCCACACTAGTTAACGTCAAGATGAAATGTTAGGATTATTTTTAATAAAGCCTCAGTTTGACTGAAGCAGAAAAGAAAAAAACTAAATGGTTCCAGACATTTGTTTCAATGGTAATAGTCTCTATTTACATGTTGCTTATAGTCTTAATTTATACAGTGTCTATAATCTTAATAGCCCCTTAAAGCAGTCTACACCAGAGTTTTTGCCATTTATACACAGATCTGTGTGCAGCACTTTCTCTGTCATACATTACCAGTACAGCCGTTAGCGTTCATTGTCTTGCCCAAAGACACTTTGGCACGTGGAACGGAGGAGAAAGGGATCGAACTGCCAATCCTCTGGCTAGTGGACCCGCTTTACCTCCCGAGCCACAGCCGTCCGTTGTGTGTTTGACAAACAAAACCCACGTCGCTGTGGTGAGTTTCACTGGAAACTTTCTGAGAATCAGATGTAAACTTTTAACGCTGTGAAATTGTTCCTAGCTTCATGTTGTTGGCGGAGGCAGAAACCTGAACAAATAAATCCAATCTGTGGCTGGATACCACCACACACAAGTTTTATTCTATTCATTCATGTATTTATTTTTGTAGTTTCAGTGATTCAGTGATTCGCTGTGACTGACGCCCCTCACTGCTTCCTGACTCTTTAGTGAGCCAGACAGATCCTTCGGCCCCCTGATGTGAAACTCAAGACCACAGGTGACTGCACCTCCAACGAACCCTAACTCTGCACAGTTTTTAATTTCTACTCTAAAACTTTACTCTGTAATTCAGAAATGACATAACATACAGAATATTCAAGGAAAAGTATGTTCTTGTTTTCATGTCGTTTTTTCTCCAATTCTTTCCTCCCTTTTCAACATGTTCTTAAGCATGTTGAATGTTAACACATGTTTAGCCGTCTGACACCAGAGAGATATTATACTAAATACTGCACAACACTGATTACACAAGTCAATCTGAGCCTCAGGTGCAGCAGCACAATTCTGCTCTTCTGTTTTAAATAACTATAAGAATTGAACTGCATCTTAATGTGATGTTATTGTAGCCTCAGTCTGATGTGCAGCTTTAATATGAAGGATAAAATCAGCACGGACTGGATTTAGTTATCACAAACTCAACTGTGGTCCTCAGTACAGCACAGACCTTCACCAAGGCCCGACAGTCCCCTTCAATTAAAACAAGCTGCACCACATTGCACAATTTCTTAGAGATCAGTTCTCTTAATGTTCCTGATTCTATTTTTTCAACAAGATCCATGAAATAGTCCCTGGAATAATTGATAATGTTGAAAAATGTCTATCTTGCAATTTAAGAAAAGAAATTCCTAAATTTTCTGGGTTCTTCCCTGACACAAACTACATTTCTCACCCAAGTCGCATGCTAATCTGCCCTGTTGCTTTTGTGTAGTATTGCTTAAATAAAACATACAAACAAATCATAATAATACTGTATTATCAGGAGCTAATATATGTAATCAGAACAATTTTACGGCGAACTGAGCTCTACGTCTGTCCTGTCAAACAGGCTCAGGCACCTGAACCATAGACTATGTATATAAAGTATATAAAGAGACCTGAACCTATACTATGATTCATTCGCTAATGGTATCAGATGTGACACTAGCAGTAGTAGTAGTAGTATTAGTAGTAACAGTAGTATTAGTAGCAGTAGTAGTAGTATTTGCAGTGATGAAGCATTATGAACGTTCCATATGATCCTTGTTTCCTCATGTAAAATCCCTGATCTTTCAGTTGCCTGTAAACCGACTCGCTCGCTCAGCGTTAATCACTAACACCTGCATGTGACATGATGGACGAGGTGAGATGATGTGAGACAGGTGTGACCAACAGACTGTGACCGCAAGAGTCCCATCAGTCCGTCTGGGTTTCAGCCTGGAAAGTCCGGTGAAGTTGGTGGTGGAGCATGTGATCCTCCCCCCAGGAGACGTTCATCAGCCCCAGGGAACGAGGTGAGGGAGGTGGAGAGAAGGTGGAAGGAACTGTGACATTGAATGTTCTTTACTTATCAACTAATAATTTTGCAGCGTGATCGTATAAACTGGCAACATCTGGCTTGTACCTCCGTGTAATGAATTCTGAAATGAATGCCACATTGCTTTGTTTTACTTTAAAGTTCATTAAATAACATTTCGGTAACTTTAACTTCTGATAAATAACTCCTTTCTCTAAAATCAAACTTTATAGTTTGTCAGAAATAATTGGTATAAAAATTATATGTAGTGCAGTTTGGTATCTATATAGTACCAGCTGTAAATGAACAATGTTCGTAACTATTTGTGTTACGCTTGTTGTCCTCCATAACCTTCAAACAGTGGTACTGGAAGTACTCAAACATTTTACTGAAGTAAAACTACAAACATATAGATAAATGTACTCAAGTAAAACTACCACAGTACCTTTTCTAATTGAGTTAATGAATAAAATGTCTACTGATGTATTCTGTTTAATACAGCAATAGAACAGACGCTGCAATATGAATAAATGATGCTGCAGATTTTGCTACTAAAACTTTTGCATTGTCATTAATAAGTAAGTCTTAGTGAGGGACTCTGCTGAATCTATTGTGGGTGTAACAGTGCTTTGAAAATATGTTTTGGGGGAGAAAAAATATACTTGCTAATATAAATTCAAAGTGAAAAGATACTTAAGTACAGTAACAAAGTAAATGTTTTTGTTACATCCACCACTGCTTACAAAAACTAAAATAGTATTTTTTTATTGTAAGTATCCCTTTTATTTTGATGGTTTTT